GGTTGATCTATAGCATTGGAACCAAGATTCTTTGCGTTTGGGTTACGTGTATCCTAAGTTACGCTATTCATGAAAGTGTGTATCCTTTCTATTTTTCGTTTGTTAAATTTTGTAAATAATTCGAATAATTTCGCTCTGACTGAAGGATCAAGCAAAGAGAGAACCAGAGAGTGATTAACCTAGAGATTGTTCAGTTGATTTGTTTTGCTCAAGTTCTTGTATTAAGCTTAATATATAGTAATTGTTAGGAATTTGATTCTAAATCCGACTTTATTTTTATGTTTTGAGATTACCAAGTAGTTGATAAGCTTTTAGGCCATAATCCTCTCGAACCGGGATCAAAACAGATAAATTAGTCTCCTCCAACATCAAGAGTCAAACTCTTAATTCTGATATTTAAACACTAAAAACCTAACAAATGCTTTATAGAGAAACTTGGATTATATTTACTCATCGCATATGTGGTTGGTAATATATACTTTCAAATCGTTGACAAAATATACGTATATTGAAACTTTGTACCAGCCAATCAACAAATGCAATTAACCTTTTCTCGGCTTCGTTAGGCGTTCAATTAATTAGTTATTTCAAAGCCTGATTACATGTGTATACCGAAGTCTTACATTCAACCAAAACATGATATTGAAAAATATTGTTCTCCAGTAAAATAATGCAAATTGGAGTTTCTTCTCGAGTAAACTTCCCGGAAAAGGTCAATATAAGAACAAGGGGACAATCTAAGAAATATTTTATGGAAAGTTGAATTATATATATAGCTTGTCAACAACTTCATATAAATGGTTTTAAAAGAAAATTGTTATAGTGGTTGGTCAGCTCTTATACAAACCAATCGTTTACCTTGAGAAGCTAAATACAGAGAGGCAAAGAAAATTGTCTTTAATACTACAAGTTTAGAGAAACCTTACACACGAGATTCCATATTTATTACTTATTATTAGTCAAGACTCTAAACCGAAGCTGTTTTCATCTCTCAAACATGTCATTTTTCGAAAATCTTGCAGCTTCTGTGTCATCTTTTGCAAACGATGCTGCTAAAACTATTGTAAAAGAAGTTGTAGATCCAACAGTATCTTTTGCAAACGATGCTGCGAAAACTGTTGTAAGAGAAGTTGTAGATCCGACAGTATCTTTTGCAAACGATTCTGCGAGAACGGTTGTGCAAGAAGTGTTAAATCCGACGGTATCGTTCATCGATAGCCAAATCCAGCGGCCACGGGATGTCATCGAGCAACAACAGATTTTAGACAATCTCCAAGAACTCAACGGATCGAATTTTCCTGGCCACGACTATCATACGCCGGACCGGAAAAACTGGATGGCTCATCTCTCTGTTGATAAACTAACCTTTAACAAGATCGTGTGGCCAGGGACGCACGACTCAGCCACCAACGGAATCGGAGACCCTTTGTTCACTCGTTGGTTAGGCGAGTGCCAAACGCTCTCCATCTTCGACCAGCTAGTCCTCGGGACACGTGTCCTCGACATCCGTGTACAGGAGGATCGCCGTGTCTGCCATGGACCTTTGATGTCTTACAACGTTGATGTCGTCCTCAATGACGTCATCAGATTCATGTCGGAGACCCAATCTGAGATCATAATCCTGGAGATAAGGACCGAGTATGGAAAGAAAGACCCTCCGGATTTCGAGGCTTACTTGATTGACAAGTTAGGTCAGTTCTTGATACATCAAGATGATAACTTGTTCAACAAGCCGATATCAGAAATCTTGCCGAAAAGAGTTATTTGCATCTGGAAGCCGAGCAAGTCCCCGAAGCCGTACCGTGGTGGACCTCTCTGGAATTCAGATTATCTAAAGGATAATTGGATCGATACGGATCTTCCATGGACGAAATTCGAAAGCAATATGAATCATTTGACAAAACAACCACCAATATCGTCAAGAAGATACTTTTACCGGGTTGAGAATACAGTTACACCTAGAGCAGATAATCCAGTTGTGTTTGTCAAACCCGTGACTGATCGGATCCGGAAGCACGCAAGGCTCTTCATATCTCAGTGTATTTCCTATGGATGTGCGGATAAATTGCAGATTTTTTCCACTGATTTCATTGACGGAGATTTCGTCGATGCCTGCGTTGGACTAACTCATGCCAAAATTGATGGAAAAGCTTGATAGATTCTCCAAGTTTCACAGGCATTGAAACCAATATTATTTGATTTTGAGGTTGCGTGTAATGAAAAGTGTTACCCTTTTTAAAAATATTCAATGTATATAACATCTTAATTAAATATACCGTTATATATGGTTGTAGAAACTGTAGAGATTTAACCGTAGTTCAATTCAATCTTAGCTTGAGTTCTAGTCCGATTCAACATCAATTGGTATGTAATTTTGTGTGTGAAGCAATCAAAGCAAAAAATGAG